GAGGACCATAATGCATGCGATGAGGCTCATTAGCTCCTGGTGTTCTCCCGATCGTGGAGTTCACTCTGGAAATTCCAGACTGGAATGAGACGTCGATAGAAGGCTGCGTTCATGCAAAGCTTGCGAGAGATAAACGATCTCAAAGCCACTGGTGAGCAACCTGCACCGACGATGCGAACCATTATGCTCTACTGTTGCGTAATTCAGACGATATATCTTGTGAGACCGGTCTCAATGAGCACGCTGATATATCACCGTGATACTGGACCCGAGATAACGTGTGAGTATGATGGGGGGCATATCGAAGCTACGTAGCTTCGATATTTAACATATCGATAAGCTGAAGCTAAGCTGAGCAGTCGAGCTAACGACAACAGTTGTCGTCACGACACAGCGCACAATCGTATATCATTCTCTTACACGATTGGGCTCGTAGTTGATATCGGAGACGTGATGCCTGAAGACCGATATTCATCCAACTACATGGGACGCATGATCTTTTCCAACAACGACTTTCCCAACACAGCTTGTGTTGGGAAACAACTACTAAGATGTTGATAAAAATCGACCTACATTCTCAACATCCGAGTGCTGAAAATGATCGGATTGAAATTGTAGTGGGAAAGTGTCGAGAAAAGCCGATGTCGAGAAAATGGTTGTTGAAAAACTGATGTATAAGATATCAATCCAGATGAAAAGTTGTCAGTATGGAAAAATCTTTCACGCCGCACTAGCCCCCAATACGGCGCACCACCCTGGGTTGCAAATGGAGGCCAACACTCACACACAAAGCAACAGCAGATTCGATGCGGTCGAGGTAATCGTAAATGGTGATGTTACCATTGTCCATCCTGACGTTAGAACAGTATCTCATGACTCCCGCATGTGAACTCGACAGAGAACTCATGTTGAAAGTAGCCAGGTGCATGTGATATTGTCAGAACACAGTTGTTCAATTAAAGAGTAGGGTCCATAGTAGTTTCCAAGTGGATCTGTAAGATCCTCTAGACCGACTGGCTGAGACAGTTAGATAGGTAGATATACGCTAGTCGAGGGTCCAGCGCTGTGTGCGTTTTTCCACACTGGATAAGTCTCAGGATTCCTGAGTCAGGAAGTAGTTGATACTCCTGTTATCAGAGTTTCCCTTGTCCTGTTTGTTGGTGGGGCACTTGATATGGGAAACAGGATTGATGGCCTTCGTTGTATGATACAACTTGTACCAAGCGCCTTCTCCTTGGCATAGTTGTGGGATAGATCACACCAATAAGCCACGTTGATGATGTCGTTGTTAGAAGACTGTTGTCGACCTTGCATGAGAGGAGCTTGGGGCCCTCCTTGAGGGTAGACCTGCACAGTGGGAGCAAAAGATATAACCTGCTGTGGATGTGCTGTGTTTGCCGGCCGTCGAGAGAGGCTTGCAGCTCGAGAGTTAGGGCCTTCGGCGTCTATATAGATGGAGAGAGTACGTCGTAGATTGACATTCTTTCTGAGAGATTGGCCTTCCATGGCAGTCTCTAACTCAGCGGCAGAAAACCATAGCAGTAGTGAAGGTTCAGCATTGCTGAATCAGCAATACCGAGGACTTCAAGATGCTCAGCCAGCGAACTCTCCACCTAGTTGGTAGTAACATCCGCACTGGTTGACTCAACAACAGTTGGGATAGCCATGATAGGTCATAAGGCTTCCCGAACAAGATGCGATCGGCTGCTGACGAGAGGTTAAAATACTCAGATGATAGAACCAACTGTATACAGCTATGTCAGCTACTCATGAAGAAATGAGAGGAAGTAAGATAGCAAGATTGAGTGTCCGATCAGCAACACGTTCCATGCTGCGAATAATGGGCGAGCGAGACTCGCGCACGTATGCATTGCATACGTGCGCGAGCATCTCCGTTCACCAAGATTCCGCACGAACTTCAAGGTTGATCCTTGTCCTTGTCCTTGTGTTAACCTACCACAAACCGTACACGGATAGACCAACTATAAAAAAATGAAGAACTCAAGACAGACACGATCACCGACAGACACGATCACCGACAGACACGATCACCGTTGGAGGCCTAGATCGTCGTAATGGTACCCCCATACCCGACAATGTCGGGCCGACAGGTCCCTTGCGCGTTTGTGGGTAGTGTACTCGCTATGAACAGCGTAACGTGAGGGCCGCTGGCACAACATCTCCTATGCTACCTTCATTCGCTCGAAGTTAATCGCGTTCAGCGCCACGTTGTTGAAAATTTCATGTGGCTGAACGCGGCGCCAGTCGTTTCTTCCTGTCAGTTCAGTTTTCTCGTCTCGATCCGTCTCCCCTGTACTTTGTAATGGATCGCTCGTTGCCACACTATTAGTCACAGTGACGTCCCTTTCGTTGTGGGCCGCAGGACTGTCTGCTGTTCTCGTTGCGCGGGCGAGATTGGCGTACAGCTTCTGTGTGGGATATCGTTTCTCGGATCGATACGCATGCACAGGGTTTTCGTGGAACAAGAGCTAAGATAAGCCTTCGGCTTTTCTCCTTTCTCTCTGTCGAGTTCAGAGCCGGGTCTATCTGACAGTTCCCAACATACTTCTATGTGGTTCACTATCGGAGCTCTATCTCTCGTTATCGTGGCTCAGGGTGTGGTCAGAGGCTCGAGCCAGGTGACTGGAGTTGATGACATCGAGCTAGCCTTCCGGGAGTTCATAAGAATGTGAGATGCACCGTCAAATTGATAGCGTTAGTTGGCGTACAGCCACGCAGGTCCCCCTCTATTCCAGTCTCGCAGGTACAAGAATGGGTATGGTTCGAAGGAACAGTACGAGATTGCGAAGGCTGCGTTCATGCATAGTTTTAGGGAGATAAACGATCTGAAAGCCCATTCGGTGTCGAAGCCCCATGCACTGCGCTCGCTTAATGGAGTGGTTTATCGAGAATTCCAGAAGGGCGACGACACATCCCGCGTGAGAAAAGAAAGCACTGAGCCACTTTGTGACCTTTTCTTATGTTGGGTCGCAGTGCCTAGTGGAGATAAGGTGCGTATACTATATGCTGTCTAACTCTGTCAAAAGGATATGTAGTTGCGTATTGGGAAAACATCGAATACTTACGAAACTTGCGAAATTCTCACTCAAATGGCTGTTGCATTTGATGAAATGCGATGGATATGAACTTCGGCACTGATAGTGCCGTCGGCATGATCGACTCGCTAGTGTGGACTACGAATGAGTTGAGGATAGCAAGATGCACCCAGCAGTAACTGGGCAGCTCACGATGAGTGTTACGTGAGTAATCCCTTCCCCAGACTGTCGTCGGCATAGTCAGTATGAAAATCCCTATGCATAACATACCTGCAGGGATCGAGACTGCGATCAAAAACCACAGGTGAGCCCTACAGTAGGACTCCTACTGTTGAAGGGGGATCTAGCGGTCTAGCCCTTTCCCGCTGGATGTCTCTTCATGCATTGTCTTTACAGACCGAAAGGGAGTAAGGATGGAACGATTGGATTTATTTCTATGGTTAGACGAATGCTGCAGTTGGACGAACTGTGATTGCAAACCGAACTTTCAGGTTTACGTCCTAAAAGATTGGCGGAGGCAGAAAATTGCATCGACACTCCTTTCGGAGACCTTCAAGGAGGTGGTATCTGCGATGGACTCCTCTGCCGCTATCCTCCGTCGAACATCGCAGCCTCCATTCTTACGGAAAATGTTCATTGAGAGTAACCTTGAATCTTTGTTGTCTTCCAGCTTCCAACAAAGTATCCGGACTGGGGCGTAATCTACCTACGGGTTCCGCGCTCGAACGATCCTGCAAGGGAGCTTTATAGCAAGGCGGGTTTCATCAATATATTGGGTGAGTCTCTCTGTATCTTGCTGGGATCAATACATCTTATCATATGTTTGAAAATGAATAGGGCATTGGACCAAGACTCGAGTCTCTTAGCTCTGAGCTGCTGTGACTCAGCTCAGTTGTCGTCCACAACTTGTCTTCGAGAAAACTTGTAGTCTGATACATTTCTTTATCGATCCTCAGATACTCCTGAAGATTTTTTCTGCACCTACGCGCGCTATAACATGAGATAAAGATCCAAATATGAGAACCCCTCATAACTCAAGCACAGTAGGGTTTTATGACTCTCATACTGGGGTATTTTCCATTATCCGAGCCCAGCTCGTTCATACTTCACAAGTATTACTTTTTTCCCCATGATAGACATGCGATGGTTTATTTCATTTCATTAATTGCTGAATAATAGGGTAGCTCTTATGAAGTCCAACTAATATTCAGGCTAACATGACTAGAAGGTACACACGATGTTTATGGAAGTTATTAGAATGGTGACTCAATTTTGCCGAGTATTTAGAGAGGCCACTCCGCCGGTTCTGGTTCATATCAACGACTTGTGTTCATCTGTGGTGCCCAGGCCTGGGAATTGATGCTAGAAAACATGGAGCTCCGATACGACCCACAGAAAGGGGATCTTCAAGATCCCCTTTCTGTTGATGTATAGCACAAGATTATGAGCTTGCCAGCGAGGTCATCTCACGCTGAGTTTAATTTATTCAAACCCTGGCGAATTGATAACTACGGCGACACGGAAAACTTAATGGAGTCCGCCCTTCTCTTGAAATACATCCAAAGCTGATATACTGCTCAGACCACATTGAAAAGATATCATCAATCAAAACCAGAAGTCTACTCGACCTCTCCATTCCGATGGATGCATCGTCAGAGACATCTAGGTGGATGGCTCAGCCATCATGGCTGCCTAGGGCATGACGATCCTTGACAGATATCGGCGAGTGCAGCACAATGATAGATGGGGTTGGAACAGAATAGATGGGGTCGGGAATGGCTGATGGAAGCGGCTTTCAAGGCATATAATCAAAGTTTGATTATCAAACGCGCGTACACATCGAACATGTTGATTGAATGAGTAGGGCGTTCCTCACACGAGAGTAAAGGACCGACTTCGTCCCCTAGAGATGGTATATCCTAACATACCAATATACATACGCATATCCGAGCCTATCTTTAGCTTTTCTCAGCCTGT